AAAAAAAAAATGAATTTTTGAATTTTTTTAAGACTAAGTTTTCGAAACTTGTAAAATTGGATTGTGAAACTATTGTGAGAGTTTGAAAATTGTTGGGTAATTTAGTAGAGTTTGCAGATACTGGAAAGGATGAACGAGAGAAGGCTCAAGCGGGGCGGTGGCAGAGGACGAAGCGTTTTTACTCGTCCGAGACAGGAAGAGATCACGGAGTGCCTGCGCACTGTCAACTCATGCGGAAGCGGTGGCGCAAGCACAAGACGCGGTAGGCGGGGAAACTCGTGCACGAGAATCAGCAGCGGCAGCAGCAGTAGCAGCTCATTGCGCCGGAAACAGGCGAGCGTGTTTGAATCTGCCGCAGCGGTATTAAAATACAAACGTACCCGCCACCGCTCACAACACCACCGCCGCCCCACATACCGCCACCGCTGCTGCCAGCACCACTTCCACCCGCGGGAAAACTCGTGCACGAGAAGCAGCAGCGGCAGCAGCAGTAGCAGCTCCTGGTACTGTTCTCGATACTCCGCCAACCGTGAAATTCATCGCCAGCACCGCCACCGACGCCTCCCGCACCGCCGTCGACACTGCCGCTTCCACCACCAGCAACATCACGACCGTCCTCGTGCAAGCGAAATAAATCGGCGTCGTTCGCGCTCCGGACGTTCCCGCCCTCGTGGCCAATTGCGCAGTCCGGCCCGCCCACTGCGCGGCTGATCGACGGGGAACAACAACACTGAATCGACGCCGAACTGAATTTGAAATTTAAAATGAAAAGAAGACTCACTGGTTGGCCTGTGTGTGGTTCTCGGTTGTTTCAATCGTTCCTCGAAATTATGGAGCCATCTCTAGCACTTTTGATCCCAAAACCTTTCCCAGAACGTTTTCGTACAAAGGACAAAGCTATTCAGTACTGTTTCCGGTGGCAGTGCAGATGACAAGCAGGGATTGGGGTGCGCCTTGCGGGAAGTGAAACACAACCGATAAAAGAGGGGGCAACGATACGGATCGCTTCAGGTATCTTTCAAACCGCTGATTGCATAAAAATTATTTTGTTTCTTTAACATTTTCGCATTTAAACATTGGCACGTCTTAGGCTCGAGAAAAACTGTTGCCTTTGACAGGATAGCTCACTTTTTTCCTCTCTTTTTTAAGATAAATTCCACATCCACATATCATTTAACCACTGTGAGCGTGTTTTAACACTTAAAGTCTAAATAATGGCGACCTCCAGTCGAAT